TTCTAGGTGGCGCTAGTGAGTCATTTTGCCACGCCCATGTGCGAAACCCATAAAATACGAAATTTTTCACCAGTTCTGACATGTGTGCAAAGTTTGGTGAGTTTTCGAGTATGTTCAGGTCCCCAAAATGGAGCTTACTTTGCCCAAAAAAAAAAAAAATAATAATAATAATCTTTACAAATTCAATAGGGACCTCGCACGGTCGTGCTCGGGCCCTAATAATCTTTACAAATTCAATAGGGACCTCGCACGATTCATGCTCGGGCCCTAAATATAATCTTTACAAATTCAATAGGGACCTCGCACGGTTCGTGCTTGGGCCCTAAAAATAATCCCTACAATTTCAATAGGGACCTCGCACGGTTCGTGCTCGGGCTCTAAAAAAAAATAATAATAATAATCCTTACAATTCCAATAGGGACCTCGCAAGGTTCGTGCTCGGGCCCTATTAATAATCCTTACAATTTCAATAGGGAACTCGCATGGTTCGTGCTCGGGCCCTAAACAAAAAAATATATATATGTAATCTTTACAAATTCAATAGGGACCTCGCACAGTTCGTGCTCAGGCCCTAAAAATCTTTACAGTTTCAATAGGGACCTCGCACGGTTCGTGCTCGGGCCCTAATAACAATTACCATCAAAAAACACTATGGGGTGGTTTCCCAGACAGTGTTTAAATTAGGCCAAGACTAGGCCTTAATCAAGAATACTTAATCACTACTCAATAAATGGCTTTGTGAAACACAGACTAATTAGAGATTAAAAACAATATGACTATGAACTCTTAAACCAAAGTAAACAAGATTAGTTTAAAACCACCTGTGCTAATCTGAATTAGCTGGTCTGAGGTTGCCTATAAAACATGGAATGGACCCAGAAAAGCCTAAAATCGTAATGAACTAGAAAAGCATAGTCAAGGAAAACAATGGCAGCAGAATAGAGACAGCGATCTAAAAACTTTAATGAGCATGAGAAAACTCTCTTAAAGACAATAGTACCAAGACACCCCGTCATTGAAGAAAAAATCAACCTCAAAAAAACTGCTGCAGAAGTCTGAAGAGAGAGGTTTAAGACCTGCAAATAAAGATACTGATCAGTTGGATGACTTAATGACAGAAATAATGGAGAACCAGCAACCTTTGGAGAACATACCAGGTGATGACCATCTAGACAGTTCAGATGAGGGATCACACACACATACATTGGGTATATTTAGTCTTTTTTTACTCTCAAACTTTTATTTCTTTCTGTTTCTTTCGTCTGATGTGAAACAATTCTCATTAATGTGCATTTATTTGATTATATATGAACTTTTGTTGTTTCAAGGAGAAAGTCAAAAGGACAAAACTGAAGAGTTGCAAGGTAATTTACTCTCCACATCCTAGGAAGCTAGGGTGGCAGTGTCTGCCAGTACTGGTCACCAAAACAAGTCACAAGCTGGCTATTGAATTTCATGAACACAAGTTGAAGTACCTTAAGGAGGAGCATGAAATGAAAACGAAGATGAAGGAGAGAGAGATGCAACTGTCTCAAATATCACAACAATGCGTGAATCTGAAAGAAAAAATGTTTTATTAAATCATGTTGGATGCTTTGGGTGTTTCTTTAATAAAACAGACAAAAAATACACTTTTACTTTTAAAAGACAGTAATTTGGTCATGAAATGTGAAAATGGATCAGATCCAAGCAGAAGTATGAAAAGGTAATGTCAAAAATGACTAAAGTGACCCAATGCAAAAGCATCTCTGTAGGCAAGTCCTTCTGTGTGATCTGTTGTAAATGGTGGTACATCTGAATTGTCATCCTCCTGTATCGGGGGATCTGGGCATCCACGCTGTTTCAGGTACTTGTGAAGAACAACTGTTGCAGTGATAACAGTTCAGCATCTTCTTGGTTGGAATCAAATTGTTTTCCAAAGGCAGTGATAATGACTATTCCAAACACCAAACATGTGCTCTACTAGTCCCCTAGTGCACACTTGGGACACAGCCTGGTTGTAGTGCCTTTGATCACTTGTGTTGGGTGCAAGTATAGTGTAAACAAAAAATTCTTCTGAGAATACCCACTATCTCCAAGCAATATTCCCTTGTTATCTCCTCTTTCAAACTGAGAATACAGAGATGAGTTAAGGAAGAATCAGGAATCATTTCCAACATGCAACAATGTTTGAAAATGGAATCTGTGGAGTGCATACACCTTGGACATTTATAGAAAACCAGTTCTTGCGGTTCCTGTAACAGATGAAAGCCTGGGTTCCTGCGGCTGCTTCAGGTGTAGTTGGTTTGACCGGCTGGACGTGCAGCCTCTTTTCCTCTGTCTTTAGTGTAGTTAAGCAACTAGTTTAAACAGACTCCTTACTCGTTTTATACTTGTTACTGACATTTTTTGGGGCGATGCAACTCACTAATAAAGGAAAAAGCACTGGCAGAGATCTTCAATTCAGTTTATTGATTGAAAATTAACAAAATAATTTTCCGTTGTTTACTTTCAACGCACATATCAAAAACTTACCTTGAATTCATTTCCCACAACTCATTTTTTCACTAAACTATTTCACTCCTCTCATTCAAATATAAAAACAATTGTAAGCTGTTGTCTTTCCCCGTATAGTCTCACCTCTCTTGTGCTATGAGTTGCTGATATCCAGCTTATATACCAGATGCTGGATGCTTATTTCTGTTGTACTGTAACAATAACTGGCTGAGACTGCTGCCTCATCGTGGCTGCTTACTTCTGTCGGGTCGGAAATAAGGACCGGCCGGGCCAGTAAAAGACCTGGTCCCTACCCTAACCAACGTAATAAACTCAATAAAATTACTCTATTAGATTTCTTCTTTAGTGAAAAAACTGCGTAGTCAAAAACTTCACTGGAGACGGTCAAGAGTCGGTGCAAAAGAGTTTATTCCAATAAAGGACCGATAAACCCGAGCAACATCCCTGCAGGTCTCAGGATGGAACCGAGTTGGTGGTCAGCGAACATCGCCTTATATTCACCTTAAGCTCCACCTTGTCCCTCCTTTCAGGTGGGCGTTACATCTTAACTCCTCCTTATCTTCTCCTCCTAGGTGGGCGTTACACCTTAACTCCACCTATGGTGTTCGCTGACCATTCCTCCCCTTTGGTGGATTTCCTATCCTCTACTGCCATCTAGTGGCCTTTTTCTTGTACTGTTTTACCAAATTAACCCTTTCATTAATGTTACAGTTTCCACTTTTTAACTATTATTACATGTAATTATTGTTACCATTTATCTCTCTTTATATTTTTTACATTACTGGATTAGAAATCCACCAATATGTTTCAACTTCAGTCCCACCGTATTTTTTAAAAAGTTATACAGGCATAGTTTGACACCATTAAAACTTAAACACTTACAATCGTATTTTTTAAAAGAATTAATAAGAAATAACATATTTCATACATGTATAACATGATTCAATGAACAGTTACATGATTTAGCAATGCCAACCATGAGAATGCTTTGTCTCATACAAGTTAACTTTCGGCAGCGCAAAGCTTGGTTTCATGCAGTACCTAGCCGTACCAGGCGCCATAAATCACAACATGTCATGATCTCATTCTTGGCTTCAGTTCGCGATGATCTCAGCCCTGGCGTACGTGACTTACTGCATGTGCCTTGCTTCTAATGAGTGGGTTACGGTTGGCTAGGTTTTGCCTGCGCGGCCTGAGCAGCTTCTCTGCTCATTAAAAAGCACACGTTCATGAATACACAGAGTATAGGAATAATATATGATAAACACACAGAGTTGTAAGAATAAAATATGATAAACACACAGAGTATAAGAATAAAATATGAGTTTAAACTCACCCCTTAAACACTCAGTAGTTATACACTCAGTAGTAAAACACTCAGTAGTTTAAACACTCAGTAGTAAACACTCAGTAGTCAAACTTCACACTAAAAGAATATTCAGTAGTGAAACACTCAGTAGTTATAACATATTGCAAACCATTAATAAGGTGTATAAATATAGAAAAAGAACCTAACAATCAATCTAGGAATTAGCCATTATTCAACAGGAATTAGGCATTATTCAACACCAATCAATCTAGGATTTAGGCCATATTCAACACTTCCTCCTCTCACTTGTGCTCTCTCTCTATATATACATAGCACAGTGACAGACTAGCTGCCATAAGCTGCTAACCTTTTCAGCAATACCTACGTAATGGTCAAGTCTCAAAGTTGATGTAATGTTTTGTTGTTGTTTGTAATCAAATGTATACTACACAAAGCTAGATACTATTTCAGTGGGAATGATTTCCTGTCCTCCTTTTGCACAGTACTGTATCATCACCATCGATCGAAGTTGCATTGTATTGTGTTCTAATTATATATACTTTTTTTACAAACCCAACATATACTGTATTACCTACACCTTACAGTCTAATGCATTTCAAGCAAATATAAAGTCACAAAATATCATAAATTTGAATCAGCTCACACCTATCTGTCCTTTGCATTTTATTGCATTACATGCAACAGGTATTCATGTCAAAATCTTCAATACAGTCACTATTACAGTATGTGCTTCCTGTTAGTCAAGTCAATCTTGTTTATGTTACCAGTGGAAATTAATCCCATAACTGTATATAATTTGACTAAGAGGTGAAATATACTGAGAGAAAAGTAGAAGGCCAAAAACAGAGCTCTGAGATACTCCATATCCCAGGCTAGATACAGGGATCTATGGGGCCAAAACCTGCACTGAGTTCTAGTCATAGAAAGACGGAGGTGGAATCCGAATCCTTAGTAAGCAGAATAACATTTTCCATTATAGTAAGTGCAGTTTCAGTGAAGTAGCAGGCACTGAAAGCAGATTCAATGTCAGAGACTGGCTGATAAACATTTAGAGACCCTGGATAAAGATTTGGATTCTTAAGTAGATTTTTACCTATACCAGGTTTAAAGTTAGTGGAGACAGTGCCGGTCATAAAAGACAGATTAACAATATTTAGCATTTTTTTCATGCCAGGTTGTGATCAACTGTCCCATTATCAAAGGGATGAAGTACAATCAAGCCACACCAAACTTCCATCAGTGGCGGGATCCCAAACAGGTGTGGGGGCTGAATTTTGGCAGTAAAGAGGATGCTGCTCTTTTTGCCAACACCATGAAGCAAGCATTAGAGGCTCTCAGTGCACCGCCTGGCACAGGTAAACACAATAATGCAAGAGGGCACATTAGATCCAGGTCAGGTAGTGTGAAGTGCTCCTGGGTGGTCTTGATGGTGTAATTTTTAAGAAAACAAATCCAAAAATTGTGTTTTTAGAGTGAACAGATTGATTGAAGAAGTTAATGGATATGTATATTTTTTGTATCTAACTATTTGTTATACTCCATTGCCATTGTTTGAAAATACATCCAGGAATATTTCAAGTGTTATTTTCAGTCAGTGACAGATGTAAGTCCTCCCAATCATCACTGTATACTAAAATTATTCACATCAAAAGTACTTGTGCATATAGACATTTTATGAGCTTTATGACACCTAATAGAATGTATACTATGAATGAAAATGGATGTCAGGCCATAGTTTAGGTGGGTTTTCTCTGGACTACAACCCTGCTAGCATCTACTGCTTTTTTTGAGTTTAGTTGTTTGAGTGTCGTTTCAGAGGAGACACACTTGCTATTACCAAACAACAATAATGTGTTTGCTCAGGTGCAGCTCAGGATGGACCCTCTGCACAGGAGCTGGAACACCAGAGAAGGTACTGTTCAGTAGAAACGATACTGAGGCAGCAGCTAATGTTTATTTTCATCATCACTTGCTGTTTTGATTTTTTTTTTGTGCCACAGTTTTCTAAGGCCCAAGTTCACTTTTTAGATTGCTAAACAATAGAGCTTGACCTGCTTCCAGGTACTTTTTTCGTATCAACTCCATCGAGGTTCCAAGCGAGCTGAGGCGATACTAAAATGTGATGTGAAAACACAGCAGACTATTGATTGGTCAGAGAGAATATTCACTATTCACTGCATCATCATTGCGCATGCCAGACAGAGGTCATACTTAATTTGCAAACATGTAATTTGTAATATGGTTATAACGGTTAGTTTGCTGTCCATGTGAACTAGATGTCTGGGTGTCGTTTATATGCTTTGATAATACTAAGTCAACAAATACTGTATTTGTAGTAGCGCCCATGTTAATTCCACAGTCCGACTTAAGAGCACATGAACGAACTAAAGTCGGAAGAATGACATCACAACTCGGGGAATAGGACCATCCCAGGACCATGTGAATGCACCTTGACGCTGGTTACAAATCACAACCCTCATCACTAGATGCCACTAAAACTTACACACTGAACCTTTAAGCTATGAATTCTCTGTCAATCTCGATTCAGACTAGAGCATAAGAGGCAGGAACAGCAGGAGAAGGAGCAACAGGAGAGAGAGAGGCAGGCCTCCAATGCTGCATCTGCCCCTCCTGCCCCACCAGCAGCTCCACCCGCCCCACCAGCACCCCCACCACCTCCAGGCCCACCACCCTCCTCTGGACCATGCCCACCTGCACCTCCACCACCTCCTCCGGGGGGCATGGTTCCACCTGCACCACCCCCGCCCCCTAGTGGAGGTGGAGGTGGAGGAGCAAACGATCTGGCTGCAGCTCTGGCAGGAGCCAAACTGCGTAAAGCAACCAAGGTAAGGTGCATACGTGCCTTTTCTCCCTTGTGTACACCAATACAGTTTCCTTGGTGCACACTTCCTCTACTGTATAAAAAGATGTAGCTTGCTTGGCATAAATGATGGCTCATTTTGGTGTCTATGATCTCATAAATGACAGACTGAGTAAGCTGATCAATGGACCAAATTCCTTTAAACAAAGTGACTGGAGGTGTTTTTGTTTATCCAGGATGAGGCAGGAGCAGCAGCCCCAGCTCCAAAACCAGCATCCTCATCTGGGGGAGGTGGTCTAATGGGAGAAATGAGTGCCATCCTTGCTAGGAGGTACATTACCACTTAAGAGACATATAAGACAGTTATGTCTATGTAACTTCTTAATGTCTAAACTATAACTATAACTATTTTAATAGGAGGAAAACTGCTGATAATCCTGCTGCAAAACAGGTAGAACCTTGCAATGTAAGTCTCCTGTCATCCTATCATTACTGGATTTCAATTCAATTCAGTTCAATTCAATTTTATTTATATAGCGCCAAATCACAACAACAGTTATCTCACAGCGCTTTTCATAAAAGAGCAGGTCTAGACCGTACTCTATGATGTTATTTACAGAAGCCCAACAGTTCCCACCAAGAGCAAGCACTATGCGACAGAGGCAAGGAAAAACTTCCTTTTAAGAGGCAGAAACCTCGAGCAGAACCATGGCTCAGGGTGGGCGGCCATCTGCCTCGACCGGTTGGGGTGAAGGAGAGAGAGGGAGAGAGAGAGGGAGAGAGAGAGAGGGCAGGAGAGGAACAGAGAGAAAAAGAGAGGGATGGAAGGAGAGAGAGAGGGGAGGGAGGCAGCCTACACAATATACACATAGAGGTACAGACAGTAAAGGTGAAAAATGGTACAGATATTTATAGTAGTGTTAATGATAACAATCGTAATGTTAATGATTACAATAACAATAATAACAATAGGACTAGTAACAATAGTTGTTGTAGCAGAGGGTGTCGAGCAGGAACACGGGGGCAGCAGGTGACTCGCAACCACAGATCCAGACTCCACAGCTCCAGAGCCAGAAACACCTGCAGGAAGTGATAGGAGGAGAGAGGAGAGGGACGAGAAAGCACAAGACTACCGGAAAGGGGAGAAGTTGTGTTAGTAACATGCAATAATGGGATGAGGTTGCATACAGAGGGAGAGGAAGTAGAGGAGAGAGGAGCTCAGTGCATCATAGGAAATCCCCCGGCAGTCTAGGCCTATAGCAGCATAACTAAGGGATGGTTCAGGACTCACCTGAGCCAGCCCTAACTATAAGCTTTATCAAAGAGGAAAGTCTTAAGCCTACTCTTAAATGTGGAGATGGTGTCTGCCTCCTGAAGTGATTTCCTCTCATTATTCTGTAATATTTGTAGAATGAACAGTAAGATTTAAGATATGAGTGGATGATAACTTTGGAATGTCTGTACTTGACTACAGGAGGACTCTGACTGCTCAATATCAAAATGCTCAAGACAAGGAGGTACGTAATGTCACTTTCATCCCTCCAGCAAGACTGTAATACAGCCAAGTAAATGGATTTTCACAGCATTAGTATCTTCTCTTTGTCACAAAATATAATAATACAATAACAATTCAATTCAATTCAATTTTATTTATGTAGCGCCAAATCACAACAACAGTTATCTCAGAGAGCTTTTCATGAAAGAGCAGGTCTAGACCATACTCTGTGATGATATTTACAGAAACCCAACAGTTCCCACCAAGAGCAGCACTAGGCGACAGAGGCAAGGAAAAACTTCCTTTAAGAGGCAGAAACCTCAAGCAGAACCATCGCTCAGGGTGGGCGGATTCACATTCACACACTGGCGGAACAGCCGCCAGGGGCAATTCGGGGTTCAGCATCTTGCCAAAGAACACTTCGACGTGCAGTCTGGAGGAGCCGGGGATTAAACCGCCGACCTTCCAATTAACGGGCAACCTGCTCCATCTCCTGAGCCACAGCCGCCCCAATTAATGATGTTTGTTAATGACAATAACATTAATAATAACAATAGGACTAGTAACAGTAATTGGAACAGAGGGTGTCGAGCAGGAATACAGGGGCAGCAGGTGAATCGCAACCACATATCCAACTCCAGAGCTCCAGAGCCAGAAATACCTGCAGGAAGTTATAGGAGAGAGGAGAGTGACGAGAAAGCACAAGACTACGGGAAAGGGAAGAAGTCGAGTTAGTAACATGCATTAATGGGATGAGGTTGCATACAGACAGAGAAAAAGAGGAGAGTCGAGCTCAGTGCATCATGGGAAGTCCCCCGGCAGTCTAGGCCTATAGCAGCATAACTAAGGGATGGTTCAGGAATCACCTGAGCCAGCCCTAACTATAAGCTTTATCAAAGAGGAAAGTCTTAAACCTAGTCTTAAATGTGGAGATGGTGTCTGCCTTCTGAACCCAAACTGGAACCTGGTTCCACAGGAGAGGAGCTTGATAGCTGAACGCTCTGGCTCCTAGTCTACTTTTGGAGACTCTAGGAACCACAAGTAACCCTGCATTCTGGGAGTAAGGTACTATGAGCTCTTTAAGATAAGATGGTGCCTGACCATTAAGAGCTTTGTAGGTGAGAAGAAGGATTTTAAATTCTATTCTGGATTTTACAGGAAGCCAATGCAAAGAAGCTAAAACAGGCGAAATATGATCTCTTTTCCTGGTTCCTGTCAGAACACGAGCTGCAGCATTCTGGATCAGCTGAAGAGTCTTAATGGACTTTTTCGAGCAGCCTGATAATAAGGAATTGCAGTAATCCAGCCTAGAAGTAACAAATGCATGGACTAGTTTTTCTGCATCATTTTTAGACAGGATGTTCCTGATTTTCGCAATATTACGTAGGTGAAAAAAGGCGGTCCTTGAAATTTGCTTAATGTGAGTTAAACGACATGTCCCGATCAAAGATAACTCCAAGATTCCTCACAGTGGTGCTGGAGGCCAGGGCGATGCCATCAAGGGAAACTATATCTTTAGATAATGTATCACAGAGGTGCTTGGGCCCCAGAACAATAACTTCAGTTTTATCTGAGTTTAACATTAGAAACTTGCAGGTCATCCAGGTTTTAACATCCTGAAGGCACATCTGAAGTTTAGCTAACTGATGAATTTCATGTGGCTTGATTGATAGATATAACTGAGTATCATCTGCATAACAGTGAAAGTTTATGGAGTGTTTCCTGATAATATTGCCTAAAGGAAGCATATATAACGTGAACAGGATTGGTCCGAGCACAGATCCTTGTGGAACTCCATGACCAACTTTGGCGTGCATGGAGGACTCATCGTTAACATGTACAAACTGAAATCGATCTGATAAATAGGACTTAAACCAGCTTAGAGCAGTTCCTTTAATGCCAATGAAATGTTCCAGTCTCTGTAATAGGATCTGATGGTCGATGGTATCAAATGCAGCACTAAGATCTAATAAAACCAGTACAGAGACAAGTCCTTTGTCTGATGCAATGAGGAGGTCATTAGTCATTTTCACCAGTGCTGTCTCTGTGCTATGATGATCTCTAAATCCTGACTGAAAATCCTCAAATAAACTATTGCTATGTAGAAAGCTGAGAGAAATGGAAGGTTAGATATAGATGGCTAAAACATCTGGATCAAGGGTGGGCTTTTTCAGAAGAGGTTTAAGCTACAGCTACTTTAAAGTACTGTGGTTCATAGCCTGTTGATAAAGATAGATTGATCATATCTAGTAGATAAGTGCTGACTAAGGGTAAAACATCTTTAAGCAACCTAGTCGGGATGGGGTCTAAGAGGCAGGTTGATGGTTTAGATGAAGAAATTATTGAAGTTAGTTGGTAAAGGTTGAGGGAAGCAAAGCAGTCTAAACATATATCTGGTTTTACAGCTGTTTCCAAGGTTCCTGAGTTTAGAGAAAAGCCAGTGCCAGTTGAGGGCAGGCCTTGGTGAATTTTGTTTCTAATAGTTAGAATTTTATCATTAAAGAAGCTCATGAAGTTGTAACTACTGAGAGCTATGGGAATACTTGGCTCAATAGAGCTGTGACTCAGCCTGGCTACAGTGCTGAAAAGAAACCTGGGGTTGTTCCTATTTTCCTCTATTAATGACGAGTAGTACGCTGCTCTGGCATTACGGAGGGCCTTCCTATAAGTTTTAAGACTATCTTGCCTAAATTAAACGAGAATTTTCCAGTTTTGTGGAACGCCAATTCCTCTCAAGTTTCCGCGATATTTGCTTTAATTTGAGTTTCAGTATTATACCATGGAGCTAACCGTCTTTGTTTTAGTATTTTCTTTTTTAGAGGGCAACAGAGTCAAGTGTCATTCACATTGAGCCTGCAGCACTATCAACAAGATGATCGATTTGGGAGGGACTGAAATTAGCATAGGAGTCCTCCGTTACTTTGTGATCTGATAATGAATTTAGAGCTGATGGAATCGCATCCTTAAATTTAGCTACAGCACTATCAGACAGACATCTTGTATAGAAATTTTTGCCCAATGGCGTGTAGTTCAGCAGTACAAACTCAAAACATATCAAACAGTGGTTGGATAAAGAGGGATTCTGTGGGAACACTAATGTTCAATTTCAATACCATATACCAGAAAAAGGCCGGTTTATGAACACTCTGAGAGAAGCCAATGGAATCTAACAGAGAGATAAACACAGTACTGAAGTGGTCATTCTCAATGTCCACATGAATATTAAAATCCCCTACAATAATAACTGTCCGTTTTAAGGACTAAAGTTGACAAAAACTCTGAAAAATTCAGAGTTTGGACCAGGTGCTCGGTACATTATAACAAATAGAATTGGTTGCAGTGATTTCCAACTTGGGTGTGAAAGACTAAGAACAAGGCTTTCAAATGAGGCTTAGAGCTGATGAGTAGGCTAGAGTCGAAGATAGCTGCAACTCCACCTCCTCAGCCTGTGCCTCGAGGAATGTGAGTATTAATATGACTGGGAGGAGTGGATTCAATTAGGCTAACATATTCTCCATCACCCAGCCAGGTTTCAGTAAGACAAAATAAATCAATATCATAATCTGATATTAATTCATTTACTAGTACACCTTTAGAAGAGAGAGATCTGATGTTCACATTTAATTCTTGTTGTTAATTGTTAATTTTTATTAATGGAAGTGCAGAGAATAAGATTGGGACTCTGCCTCCTAGTCTCAACTATGGGTTGTCATAGATTTTGTCTACTAATAAACTCGGCCAGATTTCTAGATAAGGGAGCTGCTCCATCTAAAGTGGGATGAATGCTTTCCAAACCAGACCAGGTCTTCCCCAGGAAGTCCGCCAATTTTCCTCCACAACAGGCGGTGGAATGATGACAATGTCTGACATTGTTCTTGCATATGTACACACCAACTCAACATATATTAACATATCTTCTTTATTTACACAACAACACAGCATGGTATGAACGCTTGAAATACATTTTACGGTAAAACAGACAAACTACAAAAACAATTTCAATTGTAATAATAGATATTTTTTCACCAGAAATCAATGGAAAGTCCAAGGAAAAATCTACCACCATGCCAAGGTAAAAGCCTGATAAATCAGGCCTTCACTATCTACATGACTGATCATTGCATTATGTTTTGTTCCAATGACATCTATAACATAGCCCCCTTGAGCCATCCATACAAATTCAAAAACCCAATCACCACCTGCCTTAAAGGAGCTGCATGTTTTTGCAACAGGCCCAAATCCTTAACCAACAATCAAAAGGACTCCAGCCCAAGTCCCAGCTCATCCTCTTCTCCCTCCTCTAACTCTGCAACTACCACAGTGTCCAGGTATTACAGCTGCGTTCTACAGGGAACGGCTGCGTTGGGCTCTGGCTGTGAGGGAGCAGATTGCGGCCATAGACAATGCTTGTGATTCCACCAGATGTGCTGCAGCACATTTTAGAAGCATACAGAAGCTATGCTCAGATTGAAACAGGCAGGAAGGCAGACACAGAAACAGCACAGAGATTTGTTTTCAAAATAAAACCACCTGTTCAGGCTCCTGATCTTAACAATAAACAACAACAACAGAAGCCTATTGGGCAGAAGCACAAGAATTATATAGGACATCACTAAATCAACAAAATCTGAGCAAGTTGACAAAATCAGGCAGGGAAAATGCTCTACTTCTGAAATGCTCCCTGTGGGGTATGAAGCTGTGCAGAAGACAGAACAAAACCACGACGCAGCCAGAATGCGATGCAGCCATTCCCTATGGAATCCAGCAGTTACTCTTCCAACCGTCCCCACCTGCCGCCAACATTCTTTTTTGTCCTACTTCTACTTCTACTACTTCTTAGCACTCTCTTCTTTGTATGCCTCCTACTGTATAGTATGAGCCAGTGAGTTCTGCACTGGGATCATTGGTGTTCTGCTTGCAAATGACTCACTGCAACAAATAAAGTCTCAACCATTAGGCTGTAAGCAGAGCTGTAACTATAGCAAGAGAATGAAACCTGAAGCTGCACTGGTCACATTCAGCCTTCTGCTTTACTGCAACATGTTGTCATGATGGCGCCCTGCAACTGCATTCATTAGGGCCTGAGCACGAGAGCAAGTGCCAAGGCCAACAGCTCCTGGCACTGAAAGTACAAGGGATTGTTTTTACTAAGATTGTTATTTTTCTGCTTTAACTGCAGTTTTGAGTGGCTTACAAAGCATGAAAACTCAAAAATGTGTGGTCCACACTTGATATCCTGAAACATAACGTATAATTAGGTCATTAATTGATTAAAGTAAATTTTCATTCAAACAGCTTACATGAACAGGACATACAATTAGTGCATGCTCGCTAACGCCTTATTGTGGTCACAAGAAGTAATGTTTAACTCGTTTGCGCAGTGCCCAATAGTCATGAAGATTCAGAGGCCTCCTCTGATGAGCCCACAACTGTTGCGCCCCTGTGTTGTAAACACAACATCGAACTAGGCGAAAAACTAGGCGAGTTTTTGCTCATAAAGTCTGAATATCAGAGCAGTAATGAGTATTATTATTGGTCTACCCAAGTAATGTGTTACCATGTTTGGGGGAGTAATCAGTCATTGCTCCACTTGCACCACAAAGTCAGGCTAATATACACAGAACTGGGCATTTTGGAGACAATTAAATTATACCAGCTGAAGACTTGAGGAAGTGATTGCTCTTACTGAAACATGAGTAGTAGTTGGAATGATGGAAGATGATCCCTTTTTAACATTGATTATGTTTACTGTTTTTGTTCGCTGTTCACTGTTTCCCTCATTGTCTCAGTCTTCTAAGATTTTCTAAAAGCTACGAAATGCTTTGTTTTTTATCTGAAGTAAAGTATGCTGCTTCTCCTGGCCAGCTCTCTTTTGGGAAATACCTTGAAATACCTTGGGAAATGCTTGATCAAGGGATCAAGCAGTCTGTTTTGGCTAAGGTTAAATATGGATCTTTCTGTCCTAGAATGAAAGTGTTGAAAAAGAACTCAGATGGTGCTGGAAGTGATACTGATGTGGAACAACTCAAACAGGTTTGTTCATCCATCTCTATTTGAACATACAACAATATCCTGGACATGGTTAACAGTAAACAGTAAAGCTCTGTCATGACTTTTTCATAGCAGTATATTAGCTTATAATTAATCAAAAACCACATCATTTCCTGTGTGTGGCGCAAGAAATTTGTGCTTTTGTTTATAATGAACAGAGATTTATGTTCAACCATGATTTGCAAGCACTAGAGAGTAATCAAAAATGCAACAGACTGCAGTTGCAAAGTCTAACTATTGTGCCAAGTTATCAGATAGTGCTTTACGGTTGTTTACTAAAATACTGATTGACTTAAATTATGATGTAGAATTTGTCACGTAAGAGCTTTCAATACCAAGGTCTTATAGTATTACAATTATCTATGTATTTGAAGGAAATTCTGGAAGAAGTGAAAAAAGAACTTCAAAAAGTGAAGGATGAGATTATCACAGGTGAGTTCTTACTTGTCTGTTGTCATTAGGTTAACTTATAAAGCTAGATAGTGCATGTATAAACTATTCATAACCATGGAATGTTTTTGTATTATACTTATATATTACTCTGTACTCTGTCTCTTCCAGCACTGATCCAGGAGCTGCAAAGGGCACAGCCAAAGGGTGACGAGTGAATAACTGAAGAATGGATCAAGACAATAATAAGTAGATGTGATTGTTTTTTTAAACATATTTTTACCCAGTAGAAATTGTGTTGTTTTTTTTTTTACAGAGTATACAATGTCAATGTATTTATCACACACATGATTGTGTCTTCTTCATATTTTCAGGTGGTACAGTTTAGAGCCTGACTAATACTGGAATCTTGAGGTTGATGCTGATATTAATGTTTAAAGAGTAACAAAAATTGGAAGACCATATAGATCTATGGGCTGATATTCCTTTTTTAAATATATAATTTTGATAAGAATGTCTCATACTGTTTTTAATGAATTATGACTTCAATATGTACTAAGCAGGGCAAATTGCAGTTGAGAATTAAGTGTTATCTGGTTGATAAATGTAATGGAGACACTTTCTAAATTACCTCAAACCTATTTTATGTCTGGCATTATGGTCTATCCTGTTTCTCAGTACAGTAAATACAACTGCTAGCCATGATACTTTTTTTTGCATGTGAGAGGAAGACACATTGTATCAAATATTAAAATGTGTCTTTGTCTTTAACTGATTCACTTTTTGCCAGTCCTCTTCCGTTTCGGTGGAACTTCCTCCCTACTGTCCTGTTTCCTTTGCGGCACATACAGGTGTGGTGTTAGTAACAACAGCATAAATGCACAATACAATTTAATTAAAAACTTCACTTTAGTAAAAGTAATGCAAAATGGCCCACGTTATATTATTTAGTGGTTATATATGCATTAAATGTTGTGATGATGGCTGAGGTATTCAGCTAAGTAGTCTAATTTAGAACAATGTTCATCATAAATTTTGTGTGCAGAAATTTTTATCCACAAGTTACTAGTAACATAGCTCTTAGATAAATGTAAAAGTACATTTCTGTTTGAAAGGAAGTGAAGTAAAGGTATACATTAGCATGAAATAGAAATTCTCAGTACCTTAAAATTGTACTTAATAAGTTTACTTAGATACTTTCCACCACTGTGTTTGTAATTCTGTATACTGATCTCGGGGTAACCGAGACATCAGTTTTCTGGATATAAAATTAATTTAAACAAATCAAAGGATATGTCCCTGAGTAGCCTACTATACCTAATACTATCCCGTTCTTTCCTTTCAAATGGTCTTCATCAGGTTTTGTCTGGTTTGTCTAGGTATTTTTGTTTAACTCTATCTCTACATTTCATCAATTGTATGAAGCCAGTTTTCTTCTATTATCTGGTAAAATAAGACAAGATTTGTTGTGGGGAAAAATAACATAGTATTAAAATAAGTATTCTGAAAAATAAGAATCATTTAGTGAAATTTCTTGGTATATGGTTGCAATGGAAACAGTGAAAACATGGTGTGAGAAATTGTTGCCAATAAAACACCTTTTGCAAAATACATCTGCTTCTTGATTGCCTCCTTCAAGTACAGTAAGTAAGATGGTGGAGAAAGGAAGAAGGTCTTGACATAAGATAAAGTTAAAACTTGGGCAATAGAGTAATGTGGGAACAGGATACAGATAAGTAGAAAAGAAGCTTGTGTGAAATTAGTGTGATTGCGGCTGTCTAGTATGATTTTGCACTGTCTTGTCTGCAGATGGTGGTGTTTGCAGTGACCATATATCTGATACCAAGAAGAAAAGAGTCCATGATGGACAGGGCAGAAGACACGTGCCAAAATTAATTAGAATGTTGGTTGCTTACTCTCTCGTTGTTAGACAGGTTGTGAACTTATGGTCAAAAGTTTACAACTAAGAGAATCGATTGATGAAGGTAAGAAGAGAGTGAGATGGAATCCAGGAAATCGGAGGGTAAAGGTCTCTCTGATGATATGGGGAAACCCGACAGGGCAGTGAAAACTACAGCGGGTCTGCACAACTATGCTGTGAATGGACCAGGGTGGGAAGATTCAGAAGAAATTCAGAGTGAGAATAGTACAGAGATTAGTCAGTAGAAACAAGGAAATTATTTTTGGCAGAACAGGTACAATAAAAATCAGGAAAGTGATGGCTAACGAAACGATGATACTGTGGTCGAGAGAAATTATTTTAAGTTTATACTCAAGTTAAAGGAAAAGAATGGTCTCCCTCCTTATGCCCAAACCTAACCAATCCAACCAACAAAGGCAAAGAGTACGGCCATTTTTCTTTGGCCTGATGAACTCCAGCGCGTAAAACTTTGTTGTTGGATTTTATCCTTACATGAAGTTTGCATGCAGAGAACCTGACCCGATTCCTTCACATAAGAAGCAGAATAGTAGCTGTTCCAAGCAACACAGAAAACAGGTTTGTGCTTTATTTATAAGTTACGTTCCAGTCCATGACAAGGAGGCAGTAAAAATTTATTTTTATAAGTGATTTCATTGAAAAACTGCACAAAGCCCATTTAAAGGGGCTATCCGGTTGTTTAGTCTGACACACGGAGAGGGTTCAATTGTATTAAACACAGATGCACGTTAAGGGGCCACACAGTCAGGTACAGCACCTGCGAGTATCCAGTCGGTAGAGGCAAGTTGAGCTAATGTTGCATGGTTTGATTTAATTTCTTAAGAACGTAATGTGGTTTAAAGCTATTGCCACAAAGATGAATTGTATTTATCTAACTCTTCTAACATACACTCACGGTGTGCTGTTGTGCTGCCCAAAAATCATGATCCTAAGCTTTATCACCACATTGAATTCTAGTTGGCAAGACAGTGGGACTAGTTTTTAAAAGCTTATATAAAATGTAAATGAATGATCATAATAAAAGGCTGCTAATATGAGATATTGTGTAGTTAAAAACAAACATTACATAGTTTAGAAAAAATTGGTAATCCACACATATGTATGCAGGGTGCGGACTACCCATAGGAAAGAAAAATCCAAGATGAGATCATAGTTGTTTCCTTTTTTTCTCCTAGACACAAATGAGCTGCTTTTAATACCAATGTGAGACCAAAGGCCTTTTCTCCCACTTCTCAAATTCATCTCAGGAGAAACAACCATATAAAATCTCATTTATGTCTGACTCTGATCAAAACAAGAGATCTCTAACTGATCCTAAATAAGTCTTGTTTAAGTCTCCTGAACATTGGACCATGAAATCAGAGAAAGAGCTCAAAGAAAACTCAGCTATGACTCCTGGGATCTCATGATTCTTCTCAAATATGTCTCTATTTTCTCATATTGGCCTCAGGAGCAAAAAACTCATCTCTGTCTTACTCTGATCAAAACAAGAGATCTCTAACTGATCTTAAATAAGTAATAAGTAATAAGTAAATAATTTCAGTCTCCAGAGAGTGGATAAAAAAAAAAGCTCCAAGATATTTCTCAGTTTTGTATTAGTGACCCCACCTAGGGGTCTTGACTTTACTTACATCAAATGTTGAGGTTGACTATTTTCTTTTTTTATGGGGGTTTGTACTTTTATTCCCCTTTAGTTCAAATCCTTATTGTATTTATTGTTAATTATCTGTTACAAGTTACTGAGAAAAATAAAATAAATTTTGACATTGAAAATAATGCACTTTCAAATGTTTTCCAATTGGTCAAGGTAGTCAAAGCCAGCATAACTGGAACACCCAATACTTTGACATGATGTTTAGAGATTAATTCATTAATGACCGAATGCACGCAAGAAATGATACGCAACAAGTATCTGTCATACAGAATAAGCACTTTTACTTTTGATACTTAAGTACATTCACTATGGAATACTTTTATCCCTTTTACTTGAGTAGAATTTTGAGGGCTTTCATTGTGGAAATGGTATTTCTCCTCTTTTAAGTAAAGGAAAATTGTACTCTATTTAAAGACAATCAGTCCTTTTTTAGAAGTTTTAGCTAGATGCCGCAGCGGCAGTGTTGCTGCCCTTTGCAACAGCAGAAGCAGGGTTCAAATCCAGCTCAGGGTCTGCTGCATGGTTCTCCAAGCTTACACAGTAATGTAATACAATCAGGCTCCAACTGCCTTCTAGGAGCAATAAGCAAGACATTAATGATCTCAAAAATATACAATGATGAGATCTCATCTGGGACTTGTAATCTCAATTCAGAATCCATTTCTCTTACCTAAGTCTCAAAACCTCAATCTCTCTTCACCTCATCCTTTTCTCCTAAGGGGTTTTAGGAGCAACAATTCAAATTGGAGTGATATCAAAAAGATATACTATTGAGATCTTAGTGTTGTCTCAAGAGTTAAAGAAAAGACTATTCTGAGAAAAAGATTTTTCCTCTTGGTACAGGGGAGCCAGTGGGAGCTTAACTCCCCTTAATAAGACATCAGCTCCCCTAAAAGCATGATTTGTGATATTTTGGGGGGGTCTCTATCATCATGGATCTATGCGTAAAATCAGGAGCATCCAACTTCATCCAGCCAGAGGGAATGATCACCGACCTTACACAGTGGGCCGGTCACTCGCGATCTCCTGTTCCTGGCCCTGTACCCTCCGCTGCTCCACTCCCTCTCCGTACGGGTTGTGTCGCTAGTACGACTGGCGCGCTGTGAACAGTTGGTGATCGTTCCCTCTGGCTGGATGAATATTACGCATGATCCATGCACTACTGCAGCTGGGAGCTCCGCAGCATCACGCAACTTTCTAAATTGTTACCTCTCACGGAGAAAGAAACATTAGGTCGCAAACATAATCAGCTGTTGTTTGAAGCGTAGCAAAGTGGCTACATACACTCACCTAAAGGATTATTAGGAACACCTGTTCAATTTCTCATTAATGCAATTATCTAATCAACCAATCGCAGTTGCTTCAATGCATTTAGGGGTGTGGTCCTGGTCAAGACAATCTCCTGAACTCCAAACTGAATGTCAGAATGGGAAAGAAAGGTGATTTAAGCAATTTTGAGCGTGGCATGGTTGTTGGTGCCAGACGGGCCGGTCTGAGTATTTCACAATCTGCTCAGTTACTGGGATTTTCACGCACAACCATTTCTAGGGTTTACAAAGAATGATGTGAAAAGGGAAAAACATCCAGTATGCGGCAGTCCTGTGGGCGAAAATGCCTTGTTGATGCTAGATGTCAGAGGAGAATGGGCCGACTGATTCAAGCTGATAGAAGAGCAACTTTGACTGAAATAATCACTCGTTACAACCGAGGTATGCAGCAAAGCATTTGTGAAGCCACAACACGCACAACCTTGAGGTGGATGGGCTACAACAGCAGAAGACCCCACCGGGTACCACTCATCTCCACTACAAATAGGAAAAAGAGGCTACAATTTGCAAGAGCTCACCAAAATTGGACAGTTGAAGACTGGAAAAATGTTGCCTGGTCTGATGAGTCTCGATTTCTGTAGAGACATTCAGATGGTAGAGTCAGAATTTGGCGTAAACAGAATGAGAACATGGATCCATCATGCCTTGTTACCACTGTGCAGGCTGGTGGTGGTGGTGTAATGGTGTGGGGGATGTTTTCTTGGCACACTTTAGGCCCCTTATTGCCAATTGGGCATCGTTTAAATGCCACGGCCTACCTGAAAATTGTTTCTGACCATGTCCATCCCTTTATGGCCACCATGTACCCATCCTCTGATGGCTACTTCCAGCAGGATAATGCACCATGTCACAAAGCTCGAATCATTTCAAATTGGTTTCTTGAACATGACAATGAGTTCACTGTACTAAAATGGCCCCCACAGTCACCAAATCTCAACCCAATAGAGCATCTTTGGGATGTGGTGGAACGGGAGCTTCGTGCCCTGGATGTGCATCCCACAAATCTCCATCAACTGCAAGATGCTATCCTATCAATATGGGCCAACATTTCTAAAGAATGCTTTCAGCACCTTGTTGAATCAATGCCACGTAGAATTAAGGCAGTTCTGAAGGTGAAAGGGGGTCAAACACAGTATTAGTATGGTGTTCCTAATAATCCTTTAGGTGAGTGTATGATACATATATTATTAATTATAAGACAAACATGCCTGATACTTTCACAGTCAGCCCCACGCCTACATGCTTGCAGCTATTAATTATTTAGCAGTAAGAATCACAGTCTGCCCCCCCAACCTCCCCCGAAAGCTATGGTATAGTTTGCACACTGTATGTATGTATGTATGTACGTATGTAAATCCTTGCAAATCACTGACACGGTTTTGCTTTAAAATGTATTTTGTATACACTATGTGGCCAAGTACCAGCACACTAAGGCTGTCCCTGACTAAGGATTTACATTACGTTGAATCAGAATGGTCAAGGATTGCGTGGCCTGATTGTCGAATCATGTGGTTTGTGTGTGTGTGTGGTGTGTGTATATGCAATACATGAGACGGTCTCAGATTTGTTAAGTTATCCACTTTTTGGCAAGTGTTTGTTCTGACCAGACAGAAAGTTTAAAACCACAATTACCCATCAGGTTTCTTCAACTTTCACTCAGCAGCAAAAATCAGCCTTTAAACTTGAAAGA